AAGCTCTTTACTAAGTTATCTCCCAGCCACTATTGTATATCTTCTTAATAGTTTGGTTTTTGGTTGGTTTGTTTGCTTTAATACTCAAAACTAATTGACATAATGCCAAGGGAAACTTTTATTTGATTACAAACTGCAAATAATAGCTTACCTTTTGTGTTTTAAGGAGTTAAAAGCGGTTAGTTATCCTTGTCCTAAATGACAGTCTGATATCATAAGGACATGAGGACCTGTACCGGTACCTGTGTCTCCTGAGTAACAGAAACCACGATGGATTGTGTAAGGGGTGGAGGGATTGTGTGTGTGTGTGTGTGTGTGTGTGTGTGTGTGTGTGTGTGTGTGTGTGTGTGTGTGATGTGTTTGGGGGCAGGTGGGTGTGGTATGGGGGCTGTGGGGATGGTATGTGTGGTTATGTGTGTGGGGGGATATGTGTCTGTATGTGTATCTGTGTCTCTGTGTGTGTTCCTCTAACTATATTTGTCACTTTTACCACTATGGAAGTTAATTCAATGACAAGGACAATTAGTGTTTCAATGCTGGCTAATGCCACCAATTTCTTTTGTTTAATGAGTCTGTCTAGGGAGGTTCCACTGTGTAGGGGCCTGTACCAGGTACTGGGGATATAGGAATGAGGAAAAGCACTCAGCCTGGGGTGTTCAATGCACGTATAAATGGAATGTGCAGATATACATAGAAGTAATGCCCAAAGAAATACAGAAGAAATGCAAATAATCTGTTCAAGGACTTCTAACCAGATCTATTTTAGTAGATTAACATTTAAGCTTCCTAAGGAGATAGCTTTCCTAATTAATCTATCATCACTTACAAATGGAAAAAAATAAAAATTTCATTTCTTTTTTTTTGCTTTTTTTTATTTGAATTACAAAAAGATTGAATTACATGACAATCCCAATACTACCAATTGTGGGATTTTTTGTTCACATTTTAGTGATACAAATGAACTGAGGGAACAATTTGCTTTTTTAGAATATCAGTCTACAAATCAACCCTGTATCATGAGCTAAACTGAAACCAATAAATTGTTACATGTAGATATCTGCTGCAATGAAGCCTGTGTTTGTTTGGTTTCCATTTTGGGAAAAAAGTTTTTTCTTCCAAATAAAAGTACATCTGCTATATTCTATCCATGAACAATTTGCTTAAGCATTTTGAGTGTGAATTTTGTGATCTATAAAATGAACAGGCCTAGAATTAATACATGCTCAGTGCTAAAGAACAGTAAGACCCTCAGTAAGAACCTTTTAAGGGTTCCTGCCCTTGCTGGTTTTTCTGCTGTTAGGAGTATTTTCATATTATTAATGAGAACTTCCAGGAGTTACTAAAATACCCTTTGGTGGTTTTGTTTCTTGAACAACATTGCAGATGTTTGTGTGTTACCACAAAATAGAACTATAATGGAAAAATATTCCCAAAGATGCAGAGAATTTTACAGTCAGTATTCACTGGCCTGTTTGTCAGAAGTATTCATTACCTGAAAGCAGTACCTAAAGCATTGTGGAAAATGAACTTTCCTTTTTAAAAAATAAAAATAAAAAAAGAGTCTGTGGATACAAACATGTTGGTACCAAACTCGGCATGGTGTAGTTTTTATTTGATCACTGTATAACTGAAGATGAAAAATGAAATGAGCATGCTCTATATATTAATTGTAATAAAATACAGGGTGTACCAATGCATTTTAGTAGAAGTTCATTTCATTTTTTAGCATTAAGTATAATCATGTATAGGTGTGGATATAACTAAGATAATGTTCAAGTGTAAACATGTCTAGGATGGAGACTGAATTCACTGCAAATTTTCATGGTATCTTCCAACTTGAATTCCAAGAATTACATAGAATCTCATTTCAGGGGTGTTAGCCTCCTGCCACCTCTCCCAACACAGTGCCTCCAAGCCTCAGGTGCTGCTGGCCACCACCCAGGTGTGGTCTACAAAATGCCAGAGAAATACCGCCTTGGGGCCTCTTCCCCACCTTCCTGTCCCCAGCCCTCCCGTCTAGATGTTGGCTTGTTTGCTCTCTTTGGATTTTATCTAAAGTTGCCACACAGAACTGCCTGTGAACAGTGCTTCCATGTGCACTGTCTTTGAGGTTGCTGACACCTGCTCATCAGTGCTTCTTGGAAATGCCCTTTGTTAAGTGTTGTAGAGTTCAGCATCTGGAAGATGTCTGGGTGATATGTGTGCTTCTCCCCATGGTAATCTAAACACATTTTAGAATACCTTTGTTAGGGTGTAGTTCTTGTGCTGTACATATTACCTACTTGAAACTTAGTTATTTTTAGTTTATTCTCAGAGTTGTGTGATCCTCATCACATCCTGGCTTCCTCTAACACCCCTCCCCTGTACCGGCCCATCACTAATCTCCTCAGAATCACTGAGTGTGACAGTCCTTTTATGTCCGACTTTTCTCACTTAGCATATTGTCTCAAGGTACCTCTATGTTGAATCCTATATCAGCACTTTATTCTTTTTTTATGGCAGAGTAACATTCCATTATATAAATACAACCTCATTTAATTAACTGATTGATTAATAATTTGGTTTGTTTGAAACAGAACCTTACATTATGACTGAGGCTGACATTTAACTCACAGTAGTCCTCACACAGTGCTAGACCTGAGGTATAAGCCACCCCGGGTGCCGCACTCTACCTCATTTGCTGTTTGCTTTTTTGGGTGGGGGAGCGAGCTCACTTATATACTCCTGGCTAGCCTGGAACTAGAGATGTAGACCAGTCTGGCCTTAACCTCAGCAGAGACCTGTCTGCCTCTGTCTCTCCTGAGCTGGGATTAACGTGCGACCCCCATTCATGCTGCTCTACCTCATTTTATTTGTTCATCAGCTTGGACATTTGGATTGTTTCCATTTGGGAACTAGCATAAATAATGCTGCTATTAACTTTCACTGTAAATTATTGTTCAACATTTTTTTCAATTCTGTGAGATGTATATGTAGTGAAGGATTACTGGGCCATATGCTACCTTTTATGTCTTAACATTTTGAACAACTTCCAGACTCTTTCCCATACATTGGCATAGTTTTGCTTCCTTGCCAACATCTTTGAGGTTCCACATTCTCGACATCCTCACTAAATTTTGTTCTTAACTTTTTAAATTGTTGATATCAATATTATAGCTATCTTAATGGTTGTGAATTGGTATCTCATTTTGGTATTATTTAGCATTACCCAAATCATTAATGTCATTAAGTCAGTTTTGATGTGTTCATTGGTAATTTCTTTGGAGAAATTTCTATTCAGATATATGCCTACTTTTAAATTGAGTTCTTATCTTTCATTATTGATTTATAAGAGCTATTTATATATTCTAGATATAAATCACGTTAGGGGAATAATTTGATATTTTCTACCATCCACTGGGCTATCGTTTCACTGTATTAATAATGCCTTTGACATGCAAAAGGTTTTCACTTTGAAATACAAGTCACAAAGATTTACTCCTAAGAGGCCTATGGTTTAGCTCTTATATGTGGCTTTTTAATTTACTTCTACTTCCTTTGTATATGTAGTCTCTCCCTGAGTTTCAAAACTTTCTTTGAAATGACATATACAAATAATAATTTATATTGTTGTATTCTAATAATTGATGTTTTGATGTTAAACTATCTTTGCATTTGTTTGGTAAATCCTATGTGATCATGATATATAATTCCTTTTATATGCTATTTGGTTTGCTAGTATTTTGTTAAAAATTTGTGTTTGTGTGTGTGTGTGTGTGTGTGTATTCCTAGGAGTTTGGGTTTGTAGTTCCTTATAATATGGCAATTCTGAGCTAGAAAAGTTTACCCTTTTATCTGTTCAAAAGATTGTGAGCAACTGATTTTAACTCTTTTAACTATTTGGTTAACATAACCAATGAAATCAGAAATCATCTTATGCTGGTCGTGTGTGTGTGTGTGTGTGTGTGTGTGTGTGTGTGTGTATGAAGGAGCATGTATGTGAAAATGTGTGTGTATTTAAAGTCTTTATTTTTTATAAATCTGTTCAGTTCCTTGTATGTGTGCCCTCTTGATCTAGTCTCCGTAGTTTGTGTCATTCCAGGATTTGCCCTTTTCGCCCCAGTCATCTAGCTTGTGGCCATACGTTTTGTTTGGCATTCCTACTTCAGTCTGAGTATTTTCTCTCTGTCACTCTTTTTCCTGTTTGATTTTGGTGGGTGTGTGGGTTCAGTTTAGCTGTTTCTCAATATGTGTTTTAGCTTTTTATGTGCCTGGCTTTAATTTGATATTCTCTATTGTTTTTCTGCATTCTATTTCGTTAATTTTGACTTTTATAATTTCCATTCTGCTTTTGATTTAGTTTTCTCTTTTCACACACCATCTGAAGAAGGGAAGTTAGGGTATTGGTTTTCTATTTTAACTCTATTTAATATGTATATAAATGTTGATAATTTCCCTATGAGCAGCACCTTTTCTACATCCCCTAAATTTTGATGTGTTTATCTTCATTTATCTCATCAAAAACACACCAGAGGAAGTTTTCCTCCTCCTTCTCCTCCCCCTTCTCCTCCTTTTGTACCTCCTCCTCTTCCTCTCACTGTTTGGGTGTGAGGAATAATAGGAACAGAACCATGTATATGCTAGAAAGTGCTTTATAATGAAAGTATTTTCTGATTTTCCTTTGATTTTTCATTTGACCATTGGTTATTTATGAGAGTGTTAGTGAATTTCCATATATTTGTGAATTTCTGCAATGTCTTTGTCACTAGCTTCTCATTCATAGCATAGTGAGAGTATACTTTCTGCCATTTCAGTTCTTGTATTTATTTTATGACCTAACACATCTTATCTCTCTGAGAATGGGCTCTGAGGAAAATGGATATTCTTCTCTTTTTGAGTGAAATTCCCTGTAGTTGTCTCATTTGGCTCACAGTGTTGTGTATTTGGCATTTTGTTCTTTGTTTACAATGTCATTTGATTTCTTTTTTTTTTTTTTTTTTTTTTTTTTTTTTTTTTTTTAGCTGATGAGTTAATCAGTCCTAAAGACATTGACCCTGTCCATCGTTTCGTCCCACTCCAGAATCAACGTAATGTGAGCATGCGATACTCCAATCAGGTAAAGAGATGTTTTACTTCTTAATTTAGATTTATCCAAAGACATGTACATGTTCACTAAAGGGGAAGTTTTATTTGAAATGTGTTTTTCTTGCTCATTGAGGTGATTCCAGATGTCATGGATGTGGGGCATAAGTTTGCAGGAGGACAGACAATGTGCTATGGAAGGGCATAAGAGGCCGTGGAAAGGGAGGGCTCTGTGCTTGATGTCTCCTCCTGTGTCTCCCAGACAGGACTGTGTAACTGGAGACAGCTGCTCTTAGCACATAGTGCCATGTTCTGAGAAGGAATGGTTTTGAAATTCTTATGTTTACCATCTATGGATTTAGACTGTGTTGTGTCAACACTCTCTCAAGTGTTTGCAGTATCAGCAAGATTGATGTTGACTTGAGCAAACCCTCAACTATTAAATGATACCAGTAATGAGGACTGTTAAAATGAAAATGTTGTAGATTGTGGAAACTGCCTGAGGAGAAAGGAAATGAACCTGAGTGTGTGCCTGGGTTTCCAAGCAGTTAGCATGCATTTAATAAAAGTGGCATCAGCACTTGCAGTTGATATGCTTACAAATCCAAAAGCCTATTTTTAAAAATGCACACATGCATGTGTGCACACACACACAAAATGAATGAATGAGTGAATGTTAAATTTTCTAAAAAGAACATAAAAGTTTTGTGTTAATATGAAATAAGAAAATTTTACTGGCTTATTATCCTCTGTAAAGAAAGGATTGGCCTTTATCTTAGGCCAGTGTGTCACACCAGTGTACAGCCTGTACCATGTGAGGTGTTCAGGGTTACTTCAGTGTAAGGTGAGGAGTCCGTTTACTCTGTATTATTCAGGGCCAGGACCTTGCTATTTTCAGACCTAGTTATCTAGGGTGGTGATATATTAAGCCTTTTCTTAGATTGGGGCACAGGAGGTGACAGAACTACAAAAGCATGTTATAGGCATGTGGCTAGCAAAATTACTCATTTTTTTTCATGTTAGGCATGTGTAAGATATGTAGGCTATCTGTGATTTACAGAACTGGATATACATGCAGTTCTTTCTCTCCTACTCGGAGTACAGAACAGTAAGAGTGAACTGTAGAGAGAGTTCACTGCTAATTTTTTTATATCAGAATTATTTTCTAATATTGCTGGAGGGCTGTGCATGGCAAGCCTTCCAGATGCAGCCACTTCTTAGCTAAGAGAAGTTGTCTGAAGTGCAGACTGGGGTTCTTCTCCTGCAGAATGATCAGAGTTTCTGAGAGGCAGGATGAAGATTCCCAACAGAAACTGCTGGGAACAAGGATTGCCCTCTCCATTTCCTGGCTGTAAAATAAGGGCTTCTTGTGCTAAAATTGCTAGGGCTGAGTACATGAGATATAGGGGTCATAAGTAGCACAGAATATGCCTACCTCTCTGTGGTTAAAGTGTTTGTTTTGTGTCCAGGTTATGACTGGCTGTGCTGAAATCTATGAGTAAAGAGTCTCTTTGGATTGACCAAGTGCTTTAAGCTCTGCCAGAAGTTGCAAAAGCGAATAGAGAGTAGTGAAAGACAGATGATGCCTAAAAAGGAGAAACCTACCATCAAAGGAAAGTGTGTCAGGCGGTCTCAGATCTACTTCTGGCCTTCACACTGGCTGCCACAGAACTTGGAAACTTACTAGACATACAGGTAGAGTTCAGCACAGGGAAAGCATGCCAAATAAGACCATTAAAGTTAAAGGTGCCTTGGGCAAGTTTTGTGGAAATGAAGCTGAGCCTTTGTGCCAGTAGAGCCAGAGATGTGCTTGTATCCCGGCAGTGTACAGCAGTGCCACACAAGAAGGATACGCAAGTATGCTTGCCCATGACTCCTACAGAGTGTCAGTCATGTACATGTGCATCGGTTGGTCCCTCTGAGAAAAACTTGGTATTAAATGTAAATCACAGACTATCTGAGCAAACTGGTGCACTGTGAGCCAAAGCTCCAGTGCAGGTAAACACTCTTCCCCTGTGAGTGTTTATAATTGCACAAATACATTTTCATTTCTTTAGAATTTTAATTAATAATGACATTTGATTAAATTAGAATTCTAATTATTCATCATAGAGTATGTTCTTGCTATACTATGTTGTTTTTTTAAAGTATTCCTTACCTTTTTGCTCCAAGTCTTCTGTTGACGTCTTTCAGTCATACTTCGATTTCTACTAGTTCATTCTTACTATTTTTGACATAGTTTTCTTGATACTTATTCAAATTTTTATTGTCAAAATACTTTTAAATATAAATAGTCAAAAATTTTAACTATTAATTGAATAAAACATTAACCCTTTAATTTAAAAGAAAAAGTCACAGGAAATTGCAGAGAAGATTCCTATGAATCCTTCTACAACCCTCCCACAAGAAATTACAGAGAACACAGAGTTGCTGGGAACCTACCCTCAACCTCCTGCAGTGCCTGCAGCCTAGGCATTGTTATTAAACAGTATGAAAAACACAAAGCTAGTGTTGGTGCCCACTTTCATTTTACCTGCTGCTCTCACACATACCTGTGGTGTGCTACATCTACTCATGTAGTTCAGTGTCACCATATCACCACAACGACGTCCATCTTAGAACCACGCTTGCTTCTTTTGCCCCTGGAAACCACCAGTATGTTCTCTTTTATGATTTATAATTTTTTCACTTCAAGAAAGTTAAGTAATTGAACATAGCTAGCATTTTGAAGACTGTCTTTTCTTACTAAGAGTATACCTTAACACCTCTGTGAACCCCTAACTAATTACTCTTTATCAATTAAAAAATCAGGAGTCAGATATTGGGAAGAACCTGAAAGATCAGAGAAGCAGAGGAGCAGCCACCAGTGACTTCCTACCTCTTTAGTTCCTTCCTCCAAAAGGGCCAAGATGCTCTCTCAGCACGGCCTTATTACTTCCTATCTGTACTCAGTTCTCCAAATGTCTATGGTTAATTTTGGTCAGCTAGTAGCTAGCTCTGCCCTCTGACTCCAAGCAAGCTTCATTTGTCACAACACAGCCAAAGTATCACACAACACTTTTGTAAGATCACCCAGTTGTTACATGTACTTGTGGCTTACTCCTTTTATATCTGGGTTGTACTCCATGGGATGACTATACATACCACAGTTTATTTTACCATTGCCTTGTAAAGGACATGCCGTTGGGTATGTGAATATTTAACTATTTTCCCTCTTGTCATTAAACAAGCCCAACTGTTATTTCTATTTAACTGCAAATCTGATTAATTTAATCCAGCAACCAGTTTCATAGTTTTCATTTGTCAGAGAACATTTTTATGTTGCCTTCAGTCCTGAAGTGTAGGATTTGTTTGTTTCTTTGTTTTAGTATAGGATTTCTGGTTGATGGCTTCCATAGTTTCAGATGAGAAATTCTATCAGTTCAAATTGGTGTGTACTCTTGACTATGTGCTAAGTCCCCTTATGTCACTAGGCCCAGCTGGTAGATGGATCTACCTTCTATGTGGCTCTCTACTTCATGGAGCAGGGCTTGAGTAGATTTGCCACTCTCTGAAGCCACTGTAGGTACGTTGAACTACCCTCAGATATCAAGTTGACCAGAACTGTGGGTAGCTAACTGGGGCCTCAGTTGAGAAGCTGTGGCTAGACTCTGCATGGTGGTCTCTGTTGTGCTTCCATGCCCTGTTCTATAGTGAGAAAGAATGCTTCCTTTTATTACCCTGGCTGTGTCTGTCTGTTGCTTTAGGCCACCAACTTCTCAAGGCCCAGCACAGTGAGTGCAGGGCTTCAGAATCCCACTTTGTTGCGAATATTGAGACTCTGAGATGTCTGGGCAGTCCAGCCTGCTGCCTTACCTGTTGTCAGAGTCTTTTAGAACCAGCTGTCCAGGACACCTTTTTCCTCCTTCCAGGATTTTTTAAATGGATAGTTTATAAGTCTTCTAATGAATAAAGAAGGGTTTTGTGTTCCTTGACATTTCTTGAATTTTTTTTGTTGTTGTTTTGTTTTTGTTTCTCTGTGTAGCTTTGGAGCCTATCCTGGCACTCGCTCTGGAGTCCAGGCTGGCCTCGAACTCACAGAGATCTGCCTGTCTCTGCCTCCCGAGTGCTGGGATTAAAGGCATGCACCACCAATGTCCCGCCCAAAATTATTTTTTAAAACACTAATAATATAATTTTAAGTATTTTTTGTAACAGCTTAACATATAATTTGTACTTTATAGAATTCACTAATTTAAAGTGCATATTCAATAGTTTTTACACTATATTTGCTAAAATCGATTTTACTTTTTTATTGCTCCAAAAGAAACCCTGTACTTTTAGTCATTGCCCTCGACAACTTTGTGTGATTTTGTCTGTTTGTATAATCTGTAGTATTCTGTGACTGGCATTTTTTTCTCAGCATAACATTTTTAAGATTTCTACCTGTGACAGACTTCATTCCTTTTATGGTAGAACAACATGCCATTTTAGGTAGATGGTATATTTTGTTTATGAACACGTGGTTTGTTTCTAAGCTTCGGCCATTATGAATAATCCTGCTGCCAACCTCCAAATACAGTTACTGTGTTACATATGTCTTCATTTTTCTTGGATGTATCTAAGGAGAAATTGCTGGATCGTATACTAAGCTCCCATTGAAATCTCAGGGAATTGCCAGACTTTCTTCCATTAAACTACACTAGTTTGTATTTCTTCCAGTATACAAGGGTTTCCATTTTTCTGTATTTGTACTAATTCTTATTTCCTGGACTTTAAGGTAATGGGGTTAGTGAAGTTGTATCTGTATTTGATTTGCATTCCCCTAGTTATAAAATTTAATCATATTTTCATATGTTTGCTAGCAATTGAGTTACAAAAATTCTTTGTGTCCTAAATGATTTCTTTATAGGACTGAAAACATTTTCTCCTGCTGGTAAACTATCATTCCACCTTCTTGTCATTTGAAGCACAGAAATTTTCAATTTTGATGAAGCCTAGTTTTTCTTCCATTACTTTTGCTTTTAGTGTCATGTGTAGAGATAAACTTGTGCC